AAGGGGCTAAGGGATTGTCAGTGTTGGTGGGAACAAGAATAGTTGTGAATTAACTGTGGTGTAGAATCTCCTTTTAGTAACAGACTAGGACAATAAACAAAAAAGCTGGGTTGTGCTGATAGCATTTAGTCAAGACTAAGTTGTGGTTGAGTGAAAATGAGCCTGGAGGGAAAAGGTTTGAGAAGTAGGAAGATTAAAATAGATTCCAAATGAATATCTTAAATGTGTCCTCAGGTATATTTAAGATACATTGAGCTATTCAAGTGCAGTGTGCCAGACAAAGAACAAAGTTCAGTTCATACTCTAAACTTGACCTTCTGGTGAAGTGTGTTCCACATTCCAGTCTAGTTATTGATTTACAAAGGTGATTGAATTTGTGACTCTTTTCTAGCTTATATTAGAGTAATGGTTCGGAAAATATATTGCGAGGTCTTGAAAAAAAATACATTGTGGACCAGGCGCTGGTGGATCACACCTGTAGTCCTAGCTACTCAGCTGAGATATGAGGATTGCAGTCCAGACAGTAAAGTTTATGGACCTTTTATCTTTAATAAACTCAGAAAAGCTGGAAGTGGAGCGGTGGCCGAAGTGGTAGAGTGCTAGCCTTAAGCAAAAGAAGCTGGGGGACAGTGCCCAGCCCCAGACCCCAGCCTCCACCACTGGCAAAAGCAAAACAAAACAAAAAAGCAAAAAACAACAACAAAAAAACCCATAAAACTATATCAGTCTGTCTGTCTGTCTGTCTTTCTGTCTGTCTCTTTCTACACACACACACATACACACATATATAATTTCAGAGTAAATGACTATTTGAAAGGTTTTAGTAAACTCTGAGATGCCATATCTGTCAGTGTGCTTGATAATACACCTGTGTGAAGGTAGACACTTCCTTAGTGTCATTGAATCTTCAAGGTCCTCTTCTAGCTCAGGCCCTGATCATACCTTTGGGTACCTGTTCAGCCTCTTTCAGTAGAAGATTCGGGGTCAGTTCACAGTAATTGGATATATTTTGCTTTAGCTATTTAGTTATTTAAAAATCATTTCTAAAAAGCCCGAAGGTAATCAATAATCTTTGTACATACCAAACCCTTCTCTGTGTTTGGTTTTGTAACCAGTCCTGATCCAGAAGCCCAACTCCCTGGTAGTAGCTGAGGGGAAGGGAATGGAGAGACCAGAGGGTTCTAGCCTGTTGGCCACTAGCCCTAATATGGTAGTTGAAGCAATGCAGTAGTAAAGTGCAGAGGAAGATTTATTGACATGCATGGTAGGGTGGACATGGGAAGAGGGAGACTAAGCATTTCAGCCATTGTTGTGGCTTTTGATGTAAACAGAGGAAGAACTGGGGCAAGGGACAAGAGACAGCATAAACAGTCCTGGCCTGAACACGGTCTTTTATGATCTGTTGATCTTTATCTCAATTCTGGTCCAGCAAGGTGGCTGGAAGAAGTCTTTACTGGGGGGCAATCTGGTTTCCACGAGATGAATGCTACTACTTGTGTGTGTAGCGGGGTGGTGACTTTTGCTTCTGGATCTGGAGGTGAATGCATGTTTAGGACAATGACTGGAGATTTTTAGGAGTTCTTTGGTGGGGGTTTCGCTGGTCGTAAAACGCCTTCCTTACTCTTAACTTTGAAGCCTTCAGTTTTGTTAGATACATACCTTTAAACAATTTTAAATGTTTAATATATTTTATTGTTATGTAGAGGTGATATACAGAGGGGTTACAGTTGCATGAGTCAGATGAGTACAATTCTTTCTAAACCATGTCTCCTCTTGCCTTGGGCTCTCCTATTTTTTCCCCTCCCATCCCCACCCACAAGGTGTACAGTTCATTTTCCTTGTGTCTAATAAGTACCACTGTTGTATTTGTTCACCCTTTGCCTCCCCATTATTCTCCCAAAGATAAACCAACAAGCAAGACAAAAATAAAACAAAAGCAGCAGCAACAACAACAAAATTTCTAAATAACATGCCTACAGCAATTAGGCAGAATCTGACTCAAAGGTTTAAGAGAAGACAGAGAAGACAGATGGGCTGCCATTTTATCCTGCTTTTTCTTGTGGACCTAAGTTGCGCTGCCTTTTTATCCTGCTTTTACTTAACTTGTGGTCCTAAGTCGGAGTCAGTCCTATTTAGAAAAAGCAGTTTTTAAGCTCCTACATAGTTTAGCAATATATGCCATTAATGAAATGAAAGCAGTGGATTAAAAGTTAGACTTAATTATAGAATTTAAAAAGAAATGGTTTATATATAGCACATTACAAAACAAAAAGCACAGAAAATACTGAAAGCCAGGAACCTAATGTGTGGGTTGAGTATATAGCTTAATATTAGGTACCTGTGCAAACTCTTCAATCGAACCCCAGAACTGAAACAGAACAAATGAAAAAACAGGAAAAGGAACCTACCATTCACATACATGTCAACATTTTGCCTAATTTTTTACCCTTGTTTAATGCTAAGACGTGCCCCTTTTCATCTCTCTAGGATTACCACTACTTTCAGTTTAGTTTGTGTCAAGTCATATATTTAAAAACCAAGTTTTTAATTCTGATATATCTGCCCATAAACAATGTATCTTTTGTTTTAATGTATTAAAAATAAAATATAAATATTGCAGGCATACGATACTCTACATGGAAAACTACAATTTATTTATTTATTTATTATTGTGAAAATACCCTATAGAGGGGTTACAATTACATGGGCAAGGTAATGAGTACATATCTTATCAAGCATTGTTGCCTCCTCCTTTGTTTCCCCTTCCCATCCCTTTACAAATAATTTACAATTTTAATTTTAATCAGCATGATATGAAACACATATAAAATATGTGTTTGACATAATGTGATGGCCTAATAACATAAGTTGAAATATCTTCTGAAGTTTTTTCAGTATAATCTACAGAATAATCTGTTTTGTGAACTAGTACAAATATCACATGATTATATATGTAGGTACTATATATATATACATACATACATACATACACAAAATATTGAAAACTGCTCTTTCTAAACCATAGTCATCTATATTACATGTTAATTTTGTTATTTTCTAGCCTATGAATATTTAAGTGTTTGTGCCAGATTTAGTAAATTGATTTTATGACCTAATGATAGGCATTCATGATTTGGAAAATATTACTTGATGAGTAATCCAAAAAAACTAATCTACTATACAAGCATTAGCTCTTTTATTATAATAAAACTACTCCAACCAGTAAGTATTGTGTTACAATAGCATTCATTTTGTTGTTTGGAGATTGGTACTTGAACTTGATACTTGATGTTTTTGATCATTTGCTAGCATTCCATCAACTGTACCAAGCATCCAACCCTTATAATAGCATTAATATACATAAAACTTGGTTATATTGGCAAATCCATCTTCTATAAATTAAGTCCCAATTAAGTGTCAATTCATTGAAGTCCTTTAGAGAGTGTATATTAATATGAAAATATCTTGAGATTTTTTTGGCTGTGGTTTCTTTCTGGGGGGCAAGGAATGGTATAATGTTAGAGAAGGAAAGAGGTTTTACTGGTGTAGCATACTCCCAGTTCCTGTCACCAGTGCCCTATGTATAGTCTTAGTAAAACTCTCTTCTTCTTTATCCTCAAGTTTCTCACCTATCAAATGAGGAAGTTAACTAGTTCATTTTGAAAATACTTTCATTCTGTAAAATACAATGACTCAACTTAAACCTACTGGTATTAGAATTTAAAAGAATAGAACTTTCCCATGGAAATTACTTTTTTTTCATGCATTAAAGAGTGTGATTCTTTTTTTTTTTTTCTTGTAAAGATGTTGTATAGAGAGGTTACAGTTATATCAGTTGAGGTAATGATTACTTTTTTTTTATCCAGCATTATTATCCCTTCCTTTGTTGTTCTTTTTTTTTAATTACTTTTTATATTGTGAAAATACTGTACTGAGGGGTTACAGTTACATGAGCAAGGTAATGAGTACATTCCTTATCCAGCATTGTTACCTCCTCCTTTGTTGCAATGGGTCAATCTGTATTCCTATTTAAACAATTTGTTTTTCCCTTCCCCTCCCCAAATTATACCAACATCAAATACAGTGAAAACAGGGGTTATACCAGGGGGGAGGGACATACAAAGCACCAAAAATACACATGGTACCTTATAAATACATTAGAAACAATAGCAAGGAAGAAAAAAACCACTTGTGTCCATATCTTGGGGTTCATTTTGCTTAACATCATCTTATCTGACCTTTTCTGGTTGTCCCAGACATATACTAGATATTGCAAATAAGGGAAACCATGGGACCTATGTTTCTTTGGTCCTGGCTTACTTCACTTAATATAATTTTTTCCAAGTCTTTCTATTTCCTAACAAATGGGCAATGTTTCCAGATGGAGGCATAGAATCCCATTGTGTATATATACCACATTTTCTTTATCCATTCATCAATTGAGGGGCATCTGGAGCATTATTTACCATGGCTAAGATATGGAACTGGTCCTTTGTTATTCTTAAACTAGAGCTCTACTCCTAAGTGAGGGACTAACAAAGGACAGTACACATAGCTTCCTGTGAGAGGACCCTTGAACTGAGGAAGGCTGAAGCTGAGGCTAGGCTTTTTTGAATTCTTCTTTCCCTGCAGAACTCCACTCTCGCTCTACATCAGTGTCAATGCATTGCTGACTCTGCTCTGCTGTTATTTCAGCCTCACTTCTTCCCTTAGAGAAGTGGACTGGAACTTTTAGACCTCTGGGCTCTGATGCTATGGATGGTAATCCTTATTATTTTGCAATACTCTGTGCTTGACACTGAGCAGGCACTGTGTGGAATTGTGAGGGAAGACTTCATATTTCATGAAACTCTGTTTAGTTTATTTCAAGTTACAAAGTTGATCATCTTAAAATAATTATAATTTCTTTTTTGAAGTAAGCAAAGTACTTCTCATGTTTTAAAATACAGCTAATGAGCCTTTCCCTCTGTTTTTCCTTTCATCCCTGCTGTTCTCTGCAGTGTGCCGAGATTTTGCTGTTCTAGAGGACCACACCCTGGCTCACAGCCTGCAGGAACAAGAGAGTGAGTAATGACTCTTATTTATGGGCCTTCAGTTTTCTTGTTTTAGTGTGTAGCTTGAGGCTAGTTTCTTAGGGTGATGTAGGGACGAATATTGTGACCAAGATGCACTGTACCTGGATTCAGAAGGATTTGTCTAGGCAAGCAGCTTTATGAAAATGAATTTATGAGTGTTTTAAAGTAAGACTGGCCATCAGGGATTTGAAGACACTGCCATATGCATAGGAGGAATCGATAGACCTGAAGAGAGAGAGACTGTGGTCACATGTAAATGTATCCAAGATGTGCCAGGACCTATCATGAGAATCTGTTCTTGTCCTCAGCTAGGGGCCTGAAAATCTTTTCTTGGCAATCACAGTATCTTTATGAAGTCACATTGTGGACTTTTTTTTTTTAACAGTGTTTTTGAGGAAAGTAAAACCAAGTTTGTACATGTATTTGAGTTCGTGATTTCTTAATGATTTCTTAATTTATCAATATTGAAAAATGTGGCTAATGAAGAGTAGTAACATGTGGCAATAGAGCACAGGCCCTGGCTTAGAATATTGGTGATGCAATCCTGGCACCATCACTTTTTTGCGATGGGACCAGAACAAATGATTCTTTTTGTTGGCAATAACAATCCCTGTGCTACTCTTTTTAGCAGTAAAGCCTTTCTTAAATTAATTATGAGGTCTGTAACTAACAAGCAAAAGCATTGTAGCTCCTGTTCTAACTCTCTTTAATCATTCTGCACAGTTGAGCATCATCTAGCATCGAATGTTCAGCGGAACCGTTTGGTCCAGCACGATCTCCAGGTGGCTAAGCAGCTCCAAGAGGAAGATCTGAAAGCCCAGGCTCAGCTCCAGAAGCGCTACAAAGATCTGTGAGGATTTGGGGAGTGGGAGCAATGTGAGAGTTGTCTTTGGAGCCAGCAGCTAACTAGGACAGGGGATGAAATCCCTCCTGTTCCCCTGTTTTCTCTTACAGTCCTTCAGTGCCTACTCAATAGTTTTATTTGAAAATTTTTCTTTGTTTTTGTACCATTAACTTAGTCTTGGGTGGGTGAATAGCTACATGAACTCCTAATAGTATTAGTAGCTTTGTTCCTTGAATTTGTTTTTTTATGCCACAAGTATAGGGAGAGATGACATTTCTTCCTCTGCCTCACAGTTAATTTAGTGGACCCAATGAAATAGTAGACAGCAAAAAACTTTATGCATTGTATTGGCTTTATTTACTATGTCCTAGCTATGTTTATTCTGTTTCCAGAATGTTCTCGAAAGCTCTGACTTGTATACTTAGTTATCTTCATGACTTCAACATCAGACCAAACTTATTAGATAGATAAATACATATTTTTATTTCTAAAATCTTTCAAAGTATAATGGCTTTCTAATCTTTTGTAATGTATAAAAGCTCACAGTGTATTTGTTGACCAAATTTGGCTCTTACAACTCAAACTTCAAATGGTTTATTTTACCACAAGACCATGTGTTGAGAAGAAAAGAATAAAGGAGACATGAAGAGATCCCTTAATTTAGTGTTGTGTTCCAATAAAATAGGAACACTTACTGTGTTTTCCCCCTTTGGTGGCAGGGTTCATCCTTCTGTTTATCATTTATAGAGAGGAATTTATTCTAAATTTTGTTACGCTTCCTTATATTGCAAATAAATACTCTATTGGCTTGCTAAACCTGGCCTGAAGAATACCACTGGAGACTTGAAAACACATGAGCATTATACACTGAGAGATAAGTACTTGACCAACAGATTTGATTATGATGTCCATGAAAAGAGATTGGGAAAAGCTTAAGAAGCTACATGATGTGCTTAATCCATATCTTGATGGCTAGTTAGAAATTTATGATAATAATTGGGGAAAACCATTCCAGAAGGTATAGTGTGCATGTGGATTGAAACAAAAAGGACCTACAGTCACACAGTAATGGTGAGAAGTTGAGTATTGCTAGAGTGAGAGTATTCTTAAGACTATGTTGAGAAAAGTAGTCAAATTATGTTATGAGTTACGTTAAAGTAATTATGTCTTATAGATTTATATTATAGCCATTTATATTTTAAACCATTGAAAGGGTATTAGGTTATCATTTTGGGACCTACTTTGAGAATTTGGGTGGGTAAAGGATTGCAGGTCAAATTCAGAGACACTGAAGCCTGAATTGAAAGGTGGTAGTAATGGAGATGTGAGAGGAAGGGACAGATTTGAGAGATTCTGAGTCCCAGGGTAACACAGAGAGGATGGATGAGAGCCAGAGCTCAAATAAAATGTTCGAGACACATCAATGGCCACCCTTTATATTTTCATAATTCTCTGTTAAACCAGTTCTGAGGTTAATGTACTGGTTCAATTCCTGAATTAGGTTGATGACATTGAGCATAATGAGATTATTAAGACAAAACACTGGGAAATACAAATCAGGATATGGAAAGATAATAGGTCCTAAATTAGAGAAGAACCAGGCATGGGCGTATTTCTTCCTGGGACTCCAAGGTTTTAGAAATACTTAGTAATTAGAAAGGAATTCTTTCACTTTCTAGAAGTGTTGACAGCTGGCTCTATAAAGAGAAGGATGAGATGCTTCCAATTTTAATGAGCTGGTCTCTTTTACTCTGTCAGTGTCTGAGGGCCACTGTTTTCAAAGCCAAGCTTACCAGATTCTTCACTATCCTTTTTTTTTTTTTTTTTGGGGGTGACAGTCGTGGGGCCTGAACTCTGGGCCTGGGCGCTGTCCTTCAGCTCTTCAGCTCAAGGCTAGCACTCTACCACTTGAGCCACAGCGCCGCTTCCGGCTTTTTTCTTTTTGCTTATGTGGTGCTGAGGAATCGAACCCAGGGCCTCAGGCATTCAAGGCAAGTGCTCTACCACTGAGCCACCTTCCCAGCCTCTCACTATCCCTTTTGCACCTCATTTTACTTCCTTGTGGTTCTTTATACTTAGCTGATGGAGCTAGAGCCAACCCTTTTTGGAGCAGTTAGAAATCATGAAGCTTAGCTGAAAATTTGTGTGCTTTCTGTACAAGGAGCTGCAGCATCCCCATCACCTGAGACCTGAACAGCTTTGTTTGAGTTTACCTGTGTGTAGTCAGTAGCGGCTGCCTCCTGTATGGACTTTACATTCATTGGGAGGTTCAGGTAGAAGTCTTTCAAACTAGTACCATGGTTCTTATTATTTTAAGGAAGTGAATGAATGTAGAGGAAACATAAATATGATATATTTACATAAATATAAATAGATAAGAGGAAATATAAACAGATTTTTATTTTTTTATTTGAATCTAAGATTCAAATCAAATTTGAATCCTAGATGTAAAAATCATTCACTTAACAGCTGATTAACTGAAATGGAAAAGTGTTGTAGTAACAGAAAGCCAGTCCAGGTAGAAAAGTCCAAGAGACTCATGTCTTCAATTAACCACCAAAAACTGGAAGTAGAGCTGAGGTTCAAGTGATAAAGTGTTAGCTTTAAGCACAAAGCTCAGGGACAGTAGTCAGGCCCAGAGTTCAAGCCCTAGGATGAGCATGTGTGTGCAAGGACACACAAACACACACACACCCTGGACACACACACACACACACACACACACACACACCCCGGACACACACGGACACACACACACCCCGGACACACACACAAACACACATGCACACACACACACACACACACACACACACCCTGGACACACACACCCCCGGACACACACACACCCCGGACACACACACACACACACACACACACACACACATGCACACACACACACACGTGCGCGCACACACACACACACACACCCGGATCTATCCACACACACACACAAATCGGATCTACAGACTTCTTATTTTTTTCTTCTGGCTCTAAATACGTGTTTTCCTCTTTCTGGCTTATGTTCTGTTGCTTGTAATCTCTTGCTTTCTTTCTGCTTTTTTGTGTATACACATCTAGTGTGTGTGCATACTTATATAAATTCACCTGTTTATTTCCATTTCCTGCATGGAGGTGTAGCTCAAGGTGGGTAGAGCTCCTGCTCAGCAAGCTTATTCCTTGAGTTCAAACCCCAGTACTACAAAAATGACCATTGTCTTATACACATGAGAATTAGTTTTATATTTTCAGTGTTGTTAGAATATTTGGGTTTATTCTCCAAAGAATAAGTTACAAAATAGTTCATGTGATCCTTGTTTTTAATTACAAAAGACTGACATTAAACATAAAACATATGAACAAATTTGAGTCTTGTTGAATATTTCAAGTTCAGTTGACAAGGGGAGAATGATAGATATATGTACTTAGCAAACTAACTGCATATATAAATTACAGATAGACTTTTATTCTGGCAAATTTTTAGGTTTCCTAACTAGTTTCTTAGCTAGTGACTTTGTATGAAAGGTAACATTCCAGAGATAATCACATTTTGGAATTTTAAGTTTCTAAATTTTTTTAAAAGCAAAAATCAGAAGACTTCTGTAGGTAGAGGCACCCTGGGTAATGTTTCTGAGAAAAATCAACGTTCATTTTCTGTGAAATAGCTTTTCTGACATTACTGTATTAAAGGATCTTTGTTCTGCTAAAATGTATGAGGGGTTTCAAAAAGCTAAAGGAGCGTTTTCTCCTATTTCTATTCTCAGTGTTGAACATTGCTTGCAGACTTTTTCTGTGTATATATTTGGATGTTAGGGGGGCATTAATCTGTGTGTGTGTATTCATTTACATATAAAACCTTTGCAGAATTCCTGGAAACAATGCTTGTTTACCATCAAAAGGCCCCTTAGTGTGATATGATATGGTGAAGAAGCTAGATCATTCCATTGTAGTCTGTAGGATTAAACACTGTTTCTGCCATATATCTTCTTTGTGATCTTGAGGGAAATGACTTAATGTTTCTGAGCCCAGTTTTCTCTCTGTACAGTTTGACAATTATCAGCCTGTGTGTGTCATTATCATGAGGGTAAAGTGAGGTAAAACTATCTGAGGGTTCCCAATATACAGTAAACAATGTTAATTATGTTTTACTAACACTATTCCTTATTTTTATTATTAGTTTTACCTTTGTTTTGTAGTGAACAACAAGACTGTGAAATTGCTCAGGAAATTCAAGAGAAGCTGACTATCGAGGCAGAGAGACGCCGCATTCAGGAGAAGAAGGATGAGGTATAACTTAGTTAGAACCCCTCACCCATGGAGGAAGGGGTACCCAGCTCTTCAGCAAAAGCCTTTTGTGTGTAATTGACTCATTGGAGGCTGGGTGGCCAGCAGATTCTTTTTACTTGGAATGTGATAGTGCAAGCATTGCTCTCCATGGATCATTTGTTTCTTGAACAGGTGTACATCCGGTAAAAGTTTGAGAAATAATAATGGATAATTTGATATAAGATGTGAATTTGTTTAGTAGGACTGCTGAAACCTATTACCACAGGTTGGTATGTTAATATAACAGAAGTTTATTCTTTCACAATTTTAGAGGTTAGAAGTCTAAAATCAGGGTGTTGGTAGGGGTGTGTTTCCTCTTAAGAGGACTTATTCTTTATCTTTCCCCAGCAGTCTTGAGCTTGTAGCTGTACCACTTCAGTCTCTGCCTCTTTTGTGATAGGGACTTCTTCCATGTGTATATCTTCTCATATGGACATTAGTAATTGGTTTAAGGACCTCATCCGAATGATCAGCTTAACTTCTTTCATCCACAAAGTCTCCATTTTCAAATAAGGCTACTGTTGATCTCACTAACTTTTTCTGTCCTGGTTTTTTTTGTTGTTGTTGTTTTTTTGTTTTTTTTTTTTTCCACCTTCAGACCTTAATAAAATTCAAACTAGAATCAGGAATTAGTTCTTGTTAAAGGTTAGGAAGCTGGCATTAATCTTACTCTGTTTATTGGTGATTTTACTTTTCTATAAGCAGTTGATATATGTAATTTAATTCTGTGTTTATATTTAAAACAATTTTTTTTTTTGGAGTCGGTTGTGGGCCTGAACTCTGGGCCTGGGTGCTGTCCCTCAGCTCTTCAGCTCAAGGCTAGCGCTCTACCACTTGAGTCATAGTGCCACTTGCAGCTTTTTCTGCTTATGTGGTGCTGAGGGATCAAACCCAGGGCCTCATGCATGCAAGGTAAGCACTCTATTACTGAGCCACCTTCCCAGCCCTTAAGTTTTATTTTTAAAGCTGAGAATGATTGAAATTAGCAATAATACTTTGAAAGGACTTGAATTTACAGTTAACTATTTGCTTTTGTGGAATGTATTTGTACTACTACATATAAAAAGGTTAGTTTGCATTGTCTGTGCTACCTTCTTTCACACCTAATATGAGACTTCAAAATAACCCGCAAAAAGCCACAGCTGGAAATGTGATTCATGTGGTAGAGTGACAGCAGAGCAAGGAAGGTAAGCATGTATAGGGTCCCCGAGTTCAAATATTAATACAGGCCAAAACAACAACAACAACAAAGTCTTGTTCACTTTTCACCTCGTCTTATCTATAGTGCCTGGATGTTCCTTTCTAATAGAAAAATGTGAGTCTTACTTAACTAGCATGTTACCAATATTAAATGAATAGAATTTTCATTAATAAAATTTGTTCTTAAAGAATGAAACAAGCAACCTTTGAGGCAGAGGAGACTGACAGTCAGTAGTGCTAATTCTTGTCAGCATTACCTTTTCCTCATAACCTGCCCTAGTTCTTTTTTTTCCCCCTCTTTGCTCTTCTTCCCTGTAGACTAATTAGTTATTTAATAATACAGTTGTGGAAAATTCCTCTCTGGATTATTACCTAATTATTTCAGAGTTATTTGGGGTGAACTCTCTTGAGCAGCTTATAACTTCCCAAAATAACCAGATGTAAAGACTAAGGCCCATTTCTTCTCTGGGTCAGAGATTTTGTTCTGAACATATTGTACTGTAGTTGTAATGGTGTTACACAACTTTGTGTGTGTGACTGAACATTTCCAACATCATCTGTGTTTGTTAGCAGAGAGCAGAAGTAAGAAGTAGTAAGTACCATCAACATGCCAGGGACCAAATGAGTTAGAATGCCTATAATCAAGAACTCTAATAAACAACAGATGCTGGAGGCGATGTGGACAGAAGGGAACCCTACTGCATTGTTGGTGGGAGTGTAAACTTGTTCAACCACTTTGGAAAGCAGTTTGGAGGTTTCTCAAAAGACTCCATATTGAGCTCCCCTATGACCCAGCAATCCCACTTTTAGGCATTTACCCAAATGATCACAAACAAGACCATACTAAAGCTACCAGCACAACTATGTTTATTGCAGCATTATTTACCATAGCTAAGATATGGAACCAACCCAGATGCCCCTCAGAAAAGTGTTTTAATAGTGTTTGGGACATCTTTCTCCTTTTTTCCTCTCCTCCTCTTCCTTCTCTTTTCCATCTTTGCTTCACTCTGCATGTTCTTGTCCCTATCTTTTATTGGTTAATTTTCCTTTTAAACCTCCTTGGTGTATTGTCTTAAATATAGAGATTTTTTAAAAAAATAAAGTGAAGTATCCTGAGTTCAGTTAGACTTAGTTATTCTTAAATAAAATGTTCTGTATAAAATTGTGTAGAGTTTTTTTTTTGTGTGTGTGTATGTATTATGTTTAAACCTTGGTCAAATATATGTGGATTTGGAATTATTTTTAGGAAAACTATTTTTTTTATTGTGAAAATACTTTACAGAGGAGTTACAATTACATGGGCAAGATAATGAGTACATTTCTTATCAAGCATCATTGCCTCCTCCTTTGTTTCCCCTTCCCATCCCTTCCCATCTCCCCCTACCCCCACCCCCAATCCTTCAGTTCCCCCCCTCGCCCCCGTACGAAAGTTGTAAAGTTGTAAAGTTGGTTTTTGACATAACGACTTGTACATCTCATTGTTGCAATGGGTCCACCTGTATCCCTATTTAAACGATTTGTTTTTTCCCTTCCCCTCCACAGATTATACTGACATCAAATACAGTGAAAGCAGGGGTTATACTGTGGGGGAGGGACATACAAAGCAACAAAGAAATACTCATAAATGTGTTAGAAACAATCGCATGAAAGAAAAAAATTTGAATACATATCTTAAGGTTCATTTCCCTAACATCACCTTATCTGACCTTTTCTGCTTGACTCATACATGTACTAGATATTGCAAATAAGGGAAACCATGGGACCTATGTTTCTTTGGGCCTGGCTTACTTCACTTAATATAAGGCAAACCATTTTTTAAATCTTTTTTTTTTTCATTAAGTAAACATTAGCATGGTCAAACATCATGGAAGGTTGTGGCATTGGTCTGACAACTTAAAGACATCTATATATTTGAACTATTTAAGGATAAAGGTTCCAAGCTTACATTAAAAAAATGAATCTCTGATGACCCATAGTACTTATTCATAGAACTTTAGGTAATTGGAATATTATAACATTTGTTTTTGTTTATTTGTCGGTGGTGGTTTTTGTTTATTTGTCAGAGCCTGGGTATTCTCCGTGATCCTTTCTTGCTCAGTGCTAGCACTCTACCACTTTGAGCCACAGTACCACTTCCTGGAATTTTCTGATCTAAAGTAATATTTATGCAAGCTGGTGATATTTATTCACTGGCTTATATAGCAGTACCTATAAGTTATTAAACTTACGTTTTGGCACTTTAAAAATAAATCTGTACTCATGAGCAGAAAGGCAGCTGGGTGGGAGGCTGCAAGTTGGGACTCCTTCCTTTTCTAGTCTTACACTGATCGTTTTACTATACACATTGGATGTCACTCTATTCTGTTTTATTTAGCATAATCCTTTTATTTTTAAATTTAATTTTGTATTGCAGTTATAAGGTGATGTACACAGGGGTTACAGTTACATAAGTCAGGTAAAGAGTATATTTCTTTTTGGACAGTGTCATCCCTTCCCTCTCTGTATCTTTTGTTTTTATACCTTCTATGAGATCTCTACTGAATGAGATGCTACTATGTTCTATGTTAATTGTTAATAAAGTAGCTTAGCAATCTAATGGTGGGATAGTGTTCTCAATCACATTTTTGAATCTTTTGTTCTTAAACTTAGGATTTCCTCTGTCTGAAACCCATTATTATTGTAAAACAGCTGAACTTAAAGGTGAAATGATGATGTAAATCATATACATCTTAGAAATACCCTAAGAAGCTCAATACCATGATTCCTTTGGGCTCCTGTGTACCTTTTTATGTTGAAGCCTGTCTTAGATCCCTCAGCCTTGCATGTATTGCCTTATCCTGATAAGGACATGGAGCACACGATTTGATATCCTACTGACTCATTGCATGATGTTTGCATGAAAATAGCTTTTTTTCTAACATTCTTGAGATCATTAACTACCCTTTCTTGCATTTAGAGTTTCAAGTTTTCCATAGTTGATTGAGCTTGCATAATAGATGAGGGAGCGGTGAGATACAATGGTAAATTCCCATTCCAGTTCTTAATAGGAGTTAAGCGTTCTTCAGTACATGTTTTCCTTTTATATAGAATACTAATTCCACAAACTATATTTTTTATATGAGTGATCATAAATTTGGAAAATTCTAGGTTATATAAAAATTTGAGGTTTCCTTTATGCAAGAATTAAAATATGATAATGTACATTTTCAAGAATTAAGTATATTTTTTAATTTAAGTATATCTTTTAAGTATATTAAGTGTATTTTTTTCTATTGAATACTTTTTTCTTGAGAAGCTGTTGAGATCAGTGTTCTCCAGAACAGAACTTGTAAAGTGTTGTCTAGACTACCCTTTCACAGGGTGGAAGCTGAGGATCCAAGAGTTCTTTACATCAAGGGTGACTGAGCTGCTTAGCTTCATCCAAGTGTGCTGTCAAATAATGGCCAGTTTAGCTTGTTTAAGAGAAAGTCACTCTAAATACCTAGCTAAACTCATCATTGTACTCGTAAGTTTGAAAAGCAGGAAGGAGAACTGGCTTGTCCTAATAAGCCTTATGTATAGTATAGGGGCAGTTTTCCATCAAATCTCTACCTTTTTCTTCCTCAACCTACTGGACTATTCTTGCCCAGATAGAAGCTTAAGAGCTGATAGGTTAGAAAAGCAAAAAGATTTGGGTGCCAATGCATTTGGCAAGTTATTATTTTTCTACTTCATTAAAAGTACTTTCTTGACTAGCTTATTAATACATTTATAAAGAAGAGACATAATTTTTGGTTCTCTTCTGGTTTTCACACTGGGAGAGCCGCTTATTACTATGGTTTAATTAGGACTGAATTCAATAGCAGGAAAGCAATTGTAAGGTCCCAGACATGTAGTTGAATCACTTTTTCTGGAAGTTGGGTCTGATACTGTTCATTGATATTTTTTCACATATTTTTTAGAGGGGAAACACACTACTTAGGAAAATAGTGTTAGGTGCTTAGTAAACATGACAACTCTGGTGTCAGATGTCTTCTTTCTACTTCTCTGGTCAAGAGTATCAACATGTGGAAATTTAACCAGAATGTGGAGAGTCAACAGTATAGGAAAGTGGTCAGGAGGGAAGAACGTACTATTCTTCCCCATCTCATCTCCCACTGACTTGAAAAGAACTTAAGAAAGCTGGGTATCCATGGCTCATGCCTGTAATCCTAGCTACTCAGGAGGCTGAGATCTGAGGATCACTGTTCAATGCAGCCCACGCAGGAAAGTTGGTGAAACTCCAATAAACCACCAGAAAACTGGAAGTGGCGCTGTAGCTCAAATGGTAGAGCGCTAGCCTTGAGCTGAAGAGCTGAGGGACAGCGCTCAGGCCCAGCATTCAAGCCCCATGACCGACAAAAACAAAAAACAACAACAAAAAACTTAAGAGATCAGAAATGAAGAATCTGGTATAGGCATTGGCACCTGATAAAATTTACACAGATTTATTAAGATGAACGAATGAAGGTGTTAAAACCATTTTACTTTAATATTGAATAGTTCAAATGTTCAATTGTACATTAAGAATTGAAACCCAAAGAAATCACTTTCGTAGGTACTATTCCTTTATGAGTATCTTCTTTCAAATGAGAAGGAGTTAGGTATGATTTTTCAAAAGTACTAGAAATTTCATAGGGTAGCTTGTGTTGGATGGCATTATATCCTTTTGCTCTCATTTTGAATTGTAACAGCGGCTCACTCACTCTGGGGTCTGACATTGAATAGCTAAAGGCTTTAAAGTAGATTATCAAAAATATAATTATATGTGCATACAATGTTCATAAGTAAATATAGTTTCTAAAGTTCCAAAGAAATAAGTTACTGAGACTTCCTAACCAGACTTACTTCATTTTCAGCTTAGAAGGAAGGACCACAAATAAGTATCTTAAAATTCTGCTGTAAACCTGCTGTGGCCTGGGCTAGGTTGGAAAATCTTTAGATTGAGTTAGATTTAAATTTCATTTGGAAAAAAAAAGTTAACTAGATTATGTATCCAAACTATTGAGTAGTCTATGATGTTTGAATAACAGTAATCTGTGGCCAGAAGTCTGAAAACCTATGAATAGAGCATGTAATAATTTTCCAGTAGAATGTCAGATTCTGTTTTATCAAGCTTACTCCTGCTAAACATTTATTTCCATTCCCTTTTGTCTTTGTAGGATATAGCTCGCTTTTTGCAAGAAAAGGAGTTACAGGAAGAAAAAAAGAGAAAGAAACACATTCCAGAGTTCTCTGGAGCCAAAGTTTATGGAGATAATTACTACTATGAAGATGGAGGTAACAATACCCACATCATGATCTATTCTGTTCTTAGACCCATTCAATCTATTCTGTTCTTAGACCCATCCACAAGATAAGATACCCCTTTAATTTTGTCAGTAAAATGACCATAGGGACCTGGGGAGAGTTCTCTTATACTCAGGCATTGGGTACATTTAGATTTGTGAGAGTATTCTATTTAATGTTGGTGAGTTCATCTATTCCTTACTTGTACAATTACAGCCATTTTTATAACACTAAAATCTTGAGAATGGCTTTGTATGTACCACTTGGAATGAAATCTGTGCTGCAGCCACTACTCTCACTGTGGAGTGGCAGGTGAGTCTTTAGACTTAGCCTTTCTCAAGGAAGTCTGGACAGTGCTGTTTGAGTTTGAATTAGCAGTGTTCTAAATAAAGAAAGTACTTTATGCATCAGTTAATGGGTAACATAGCTTTTTCTCGTGTTCTTGACCTTCAGACTTAGGCCAGTGATTTAACCTTCTGATGACAAACCATATTAAGCTTTGAGATTTACTGTTCTTGTTTATTTTTTGGATTTGATGCTATCATGTTTGATGATCACGATTAATTTCTGAAGGAAAGACACTCCTCTAGGGTTTTACTTCTTATGCCCAAGTTTTACAGTGTGGTGATGGTGCTGTGATGCTAGTGGTTGTGGTGATGGTGATTCTTTATCTTCAAAATGTGTTGGGAAATGAATACTTAACAAGCATAGTTGAGATCTTTTCAAATATTTTATCAGACATTTCCTGAATTTCATTTTCTGTTTAATGAAGTTCAGCTTCACATAGTTGCAGAGTTACCAAGGAACAAAACCTAAAGATAACTTGTAGAGAACAAAAGATTTTGAGATGATCTGTTCTGTCATTTCACTTCAAAAAATAAAAAAGTATTCGTCCTTTGTGAGTAGAGTGAAAATCATGCATATGTACATGTTAGCATTACCAAGTATAATCTTTCAAGTCTTGCCTAGTCTTGCCTATCAGAGCTAATCTGTATGGTCTGTTCAGTAAGTAGATTCATTATTTAATGCTTGATGGTTTCTTCTCATATATAAAAACTTGCTAGTGTTTCTGATCAAATTACATATTAGTTCATTTAAAAAGAAAGAATATTATCATATTTTGTGATACTAGAGACCAGAAAGTAAGGGGTTAACAACTCTTTGGTTTCAAAATATGGTTATTTTTTAAAGGCATGTTTACTATAAGTAAAAGTAACTATTTTAAGCTTGTAAGTCTGTAAAAACAGCAAGACGATGAGAAGTAGTAAAATATGTGAAGAGACTAATGTTAACCTGCCTGTGTTAAAGCCTGTGATATCTTGAAATGAGACTTAAGCCTGTTTGCTTTGACTTGAGTACTGTGATCCTGATTCATAGCTCTAGAGCTGGAGCTATGCAAACATAGCTCCAGCTATGTTTCTATATTTATTTTAGTGAACCTGTAGCGAGTGGCTTCTATGCTTGTGGGAGACTGAGAGAGTATTGAGGACAGGAAGTAGGGCCCTTGTGAGCTTATGTATGTGTATAGATTGTGGGATTCCTTTTGCCTCAGCTGTGGTTATTGAGAGACTATATATTGTTGACCATGTTCTCATTTATATCCCATGGAGTTAGACCAGGTTGAATACCTCAAAGACAATACCATAATGAATTCTCCATATTTACAAAGCAGTCCTTATGTTTTTGCAGTGGTTCTTTCCCAACACATCTGCATATTTTGTAATTGTATTCTTCTGTCTTTTTAAGTAGTTTGATTTTGCCTTACTTACATAATAGTCACACCTTGTAGATTGGTATTCTGTAATTGTATTTTTCTGTCTTTTTAAGTAGTTTGATTTTGCCTTACTTACATAATAATCACACCTTGTAGATTGGTTGTCCTTTCAGCTGTTTGTGTGCCTGAATAAATCCTAAAAATGATCTATAAATTTGAAATTACCCAAAACATTTACAAAATGCATATAAATTGTGAAACGGTATATATTATTTTTGTGTATCCATGTTTTTCTTTCAAATCCATATTGATGATTTTCTTTTGAAAGTCTTGGTCTTTAAAGTCATACAAGGTTGTGATTCAAGTTCTTTCTTTGTCTTACAACTAAAATTTTAGCAAAGTTACTTACTATAACTTTTAAGCCTTTTAATCTCATCTAGAAAATGGAATTCTAAAATTAGAGCCTTCACATAGATGTTGAAAAAAATCGATTGTAATTTTGTTGAAGGATGTGTAAACTCAGGTCCTATCTATTTATCAATGTTAAATGTGAATGTTTTGTTTTTATAAACAAGCCATCTTGAATGACAAACATGGAACCAATTTTAAAATATAGATCTGTATGTATATATGTGTTTATATATATATATATGTATTGGCAAAAAAGGAGTTAATTATATTTGCCAAATAACTTTGTCACAAGAAACATTCTCAACAGTGCCAAAGGATTCAAGGAAATGTTCTACATCTGTTTCTCACCTCTTTGATGTAAAGATATCACAATAACTTATCTATTAAAAATATATATAATTACACTTTGAAAAATCTAAAATAGTTCTAATAATCTGTGCAACGTATTTCCCCAAAGTAAAACTATTATGGATTAGTTAATTGTGTAAGAAGAAAAACAGAAACAGCTTCACAAATTCATGTTGAAACAAAACTCTGTCTGTTTCTTTTAGGCTTAAAGGTATATTGCATTCATACAACTCTGAACAGGCACTGTAAAGCCTTATTCTCAGAATGTGCACAGAGTAACAATAATTCACTGTAGTGGCCAGTTCTTTCAGTTGTGAAGACATATTTACAAGTTAGCTTAATACAGAAGATAACTTTTTTTCTCAGTCACAGAATTTGTTGTTTTACTTGTGTTTTTATGCATAATACACATTTAACCATAAGTAATAGAGGTAACTGTATAACTTGCAGATTGTATAGAAGACAGATTTTAATCTGGACTTATCTGTGAAACAAATTTCCTTCTGGAAAATGTAAGAGGAAACTGAGGTTTTTGAGTGGAAGCTAGAAGGTCAATGTTGGGCTAAGCACATCCTTCCCTATCTGTTGTTTTATCAGATTTCCATGATCAAAAGCAATAAGCCAAAACAATTCAGAGCTCTAAAAACTAAGAAAATACAGCCCTCTTACCCAGTTACCAAATTCTAGTTTCTCTTTCACTTGTGAGTCAGCAAATGGTTAATTCCTGCAGGGTACATATATTAGTACTCTTCCGTGGATTAGCATTTCTTTTTATTATTGGCAAAATATAGTAAAGAGTGTAGAAAAATATTAATATTAGCATGTTCTTGCAAAGTGCATGTTAATTTACTCCCTTGATTTTGATAATACGCTGTATGCAAATGAGACCTGACAAAGCTGCCATAGATGTATGTGCAAATTTGAAGTTTTCACTAAGCTTGAGGACATGTATTTAGCAATTCTTCTGTTTTTATACAAAGAAGACAGTGTCATGAGTTTTGAAATATATTTTGGAAATGACCCCTTTTATGTATGTTACTTTGGCATTTCTCTTCCTCTGCCAAGGTTCAGCTAAAATCAAGAACAAAATTAGATAACAGGGTCATTTACTCACTTAAAGTTATCTTCCATCCTCTTCCACACCGAAATACAATATAAGACAGTTCTCTGAAATAGCTGGTTTATTTTGGCCCCACGAAAGGGGAAGGCATAGGGACCATTTCTCTAAATTAGGTAGAAACTAGTAATATTGTGATGTGCATTTTATTTCCAATAAGGATATTTGAAAGGCTATCAAGGAAATAGAGTGTTTTTTAAAATAAAACTCTTGAGTGTCTATACACATTGGCTCCAGATTGGTTAATAAAGTAGAATTCAGTGTTTAACGACTGTAATTTTTTTGTTATTGGCAAATATAAATACACTCTGTTGATTCTACCTAATCTTGATCAAGTTTTTCTTTCCAATTTAATTTACTTAATTTTAGTTTTTATTTTTTTAATCATTTTGGCTATGTATCTAGAAACTTTCATGTGTGCATAGACCATTCCAGTGAATGCTCATCCCCTCTTCTCAGTTTTGAGGTTGATAAAGCAGTTTTCCCCATTTTTTAAATCATGTTAAACTTGGGCCCCAACTTCCCCTGTGTAATGAGTTCATTCCCTCATTAAGTTAATCTGCATTTTTATTTTTCACATCCCCCTACCTCCTCTCAGACCTACCAAGGTCAAGGAGGGCCAGGGAATTGGGTTCTGGATGCTCAAGATCTCATAGACCACAAAATGATGCACAAACTGTGAAGCAGATGAAGGAGAAAGCAAGACATCCACTAGAGGGCTTGGAAGAGCTGGAAGAACGTGGTTCATCAGAGACATCCCTGACATCTGCTAATTGGAGAAAAGTAAGGGATGATCCCCAAATTACCAGGGAGCAGCACGAAAGGAAACGGTCTGGTCAAGAGAGGTTGCGGAGACCTCCTCTTCCCAGGATTAGTGGTGAGGTGTTTCTGAGCTCTGGGTGTGATGACTGCAATGCTAACACTGGCCATCAAACTCGGAATCGAGAAAAGCAGTCCCGACACCAAGACCCACTTTCACCCAAGTCCTCACAGAAATCGGGGCTTCACTACAAGGAAGCTGTATATGGGAGGGACCATGGGCAAAGTGAGCACAGAGAAAGAAAACACAGGCCCAGGACTCCTCCCTTCTCAGAGAGAGAACTGTACCACCTCCATGATCCAGGTAATAAAGGGTGGCCCCATTGGAAGTCCTGGTTTTACATGTATACATTATACAATGCATTTTATGAGCATCTTAAGCAACCTTTCTTCCTGTGTGGTTTGAACGCATTTCGTTGAAACAAATCCTGAAGCCAAACACTATGCAGGTCTGGAGGAGCAAGGAAAACATTTGTGCTTTTCTCCTTCTGTGATGAGGGTATACAGATTCCTCAGAGGCTCTTCCAGTGAAGATATATTGAATCCTAGGAGGGTTCTACCAGGCCCAGGCATCAGGTGAACATGCTCAAACCTCTGCATTTCTTCATTTGAGGAGACTGTATGTCAGGGCTTCTCATACCTAATCAAATGTTCTGAATTTCTGGTTTTATTTCAGTGAACCCAAAAGATCTAGTGATAATGATTTAATGGTGTTTGTATGCTGATATGTTGGAAGTGTTCCATTTTCTTGACCTCATCTTTGTAAAATGAGGGGTTGGGTAGTCAAATATTTTAAGGCAGTATTTCCAAATTCTGGGCCTCAGATTATTTTCAACATAGGAAGAAAATAGGCTGCTCCCTGACAAGGTATATTTTCTGGGTCAGTTTGGGCATGTTTTAGACATACATTCTTATAAAGTTAAAGTTTAAAAGACATTGCTTTAAGTTACATTTTATGCTCTTTCTCAAATTGTAACTGGAGATGTTGTTTGTAAAGTATCAGTAAATGTAAGTTCTTGGAACCTGTAAATGAAGTGATTAGATTTGAGTCTTAAGTTTTTGGCACCTCTAAGACTTAACTCTGAAGTCTGTCATCAACATAGGAATTAATTGTTTTTTGTGCTGTGGGAACAAATCTGAGGTGAGACTTTCCCTGTGGCTAAGATGATGTCATAACATCACACTGTCTGATGTTTTAATAGACCCTACTCACCATCCTGGTTTTATTGAACTCTCAAGGAAGTTTTACAGAGATGGAAAGGTTATGGGGAAAGGCATATAAAGGTGGCACCTGCTATAGCCTAGTTATGCTTTACTTGTGGCTGGGAAGCTGGTTTCCAGGTTTCAGATTCAGGTTGATTCAGTTGGTTTTCCTATCATAGTATCTCTGATTGAAGGACCTCATTACAAGGAAAAATGAAGGTTAGCAAGCCAAACTGAGTGTCTACCACAAATACATTTGTTTTGGGATTTATGCTTGAATCTGAACCTCAGAAGATTAAGCCAAGAAGATGGATATGTGAACAAATACTTGCCAAATCAGAGATGCGTTAGGGAGATATAAAGAAAGAACAGTGGAGAATAGAAAAGAAAGTAGTATCTATCTGGAGTAGGTATTTGTGTTAATGTTAAGAAAGACATGTTTTGGAAGTGGCGCTGTAGCTCAAGTGGTAGTATACTCACCTTGATCTGAAGAGCTGAGAGACAGCGCCCAGGCCCAGAGTTCAAGCCTCACAACCAACAACAACAAAAAAAGGCATGTTTTGGGAAGGCAAGAAATGGTGATTACATTGAGCTCTATTCTGGTTGTATGAATTTGACTCTGGAAATGTGCTCTAAAGGACTGTTCACCTGCAGGGCTTTTAGTTATACTGAAGGGTTTAGGAAGCATGATGGTAAACTGACCCATAGGCCCCAGTACTGGAACTGTAGGCAAATGCTCTTTTATTTTGCTACTGCAAGAGTTTTTAAAACGGTGTAGCTAGTCAGTATTAAAATGACTAAAATGTGAATTGTGAAGTATTCACCATTTTACATTCAACTCGCCTTACAAATTTTACCCTTCCAGGCCATTGAATTTGCAACCTTTCTGGAATAGTAGTTCAAAAGAGTCATACTGTGTACTTGCTGTTGGGGGCAAAAAACAGAAAAAAAGACCCTATCAAACCAAAGTTCTTAAGGCCATTAGCACAACCCAAACTTTTATTTTACTCAATATGAAGAAAGTAGAAGGAGGAGAAAGCTTGTTCCAAGAGCATTTATACAACAACATCCATACTCATTTGAAAAAGTAACATAAAACTAAATCGCTAAACTAAATAGATGATTGGTTAACTTCTTACTGGCAATTAAATCATACCTAACTTTGGAAACACATTTCTCTGTTGAACTACACTTTTAAATAAGCTTATCACTTTTGCAGGTTATCTTCTTATTCTCTCAAGGCCAGAAAATATCTGCACTTTGATGCTATCAATTGTTTCTCAAATGTCCTGTGACATTCCCTACATGTGAGATGACTTAAAAATATTCCTACATGATAGCAAATCTGTTAGTCACCGTAGAATTTTGTTTCAACCTTGGAATAAATTTATCATGCAGTACTTTGAGCAATCGATCTCATTCTGAAGCATTAAAAAGGATGCTTTATTTGTATTCATTTGGGGAAGTTGTATTCTCACACTGAAGGATGAACAGGAAAACAAGGGACAATTAGATTAGTTTCTAAGGGCTGTGGCTGGTCAATAAGTGTGTTTGCCTAGCATGGGCAGGGTTCTGAGTCCCACCTGAGACACACACACACATACACACACACACACACGCACACCCATTGGAGGTTTAGGCTGTCAAAATGAAGGCAGCCATTCAAGTTAATAACCTACAGTTCACCATGTCTTAAAACCATTTTTAAAAACATCTCTGTTTCTGTAATGACTGCTTCTCACGGTGCTACTGTGGTTCCTTATGTGGGTTTATAGAACTATTAATCACCTGAAGAACAGCGAGAACTATGAAGAGTAAGAACTCGTGTAAGTTCAAGAATTCAGTGCTTTGAGATCTTTCTATTTAATGAGAATTACCAATTCCAATGATACAGCAAGGATTTGAATTACTTCCCTTCTGAGTATTTTGACTTTTACCAAATTGTCATTTTTTTAACTGCTAGTGGTTATAATCTTGTCAGTTTGTCAAAACAATCAAAAACATTCATTCATTGTGTATTTGGTAGAATTAAAGCAAGTCTTTGGTAGATTTTACCTTTTTTATAGTTATAAAGGTGTGATTACAGAGGGGTTATAGTTACATGGGTGAGGTAAAGACTACTTTTTTTTTTTTGGTCAATGTCACCCCTTCTTTTCCTCTCATAGATTTTTTTTTTTTTGGGTCCGGTCGTGGGGCCTGAACTCTGGGCCTGGGCGCTGTCTCTCAGCTCTTCAGGTCAAGGCTAGAACTCTACCACTTGAGCCACAGCGCCACTTCTGGGTTTTTTCTTTTTGCTTATGGGGTGCTGAGGAATTGAACCCAGGGCCTCATGCATGCAAGGCAAGCGCTCTATCACTGAGCCATCTTCCCAGCCCCCCTCTCATAGATTTTAAAGCAGAATATTTTCTTGGTTAATTCTGACTTGTTAGAGTACTGTCTTTTGAACTCAGGGCTCTGCGTCTGTTAGGTAGGCATTCTTACCATTTGAAACACATCTTCATCCCTAGTGAAAAAAGGTTAATGTCTTAAAATCCAAGCACTTCCTCCTTTACCATTTTATTAGCTATAGATAGCAAAATGGGAGAAGTTTGGCATATTATATTATTATGAATGAGGCTGTGGATTGTGCATTGAACTGCCTTTTAAAAAATTTTTATTATAAAGATGCTACACAGAAGGGTTACAGTTACATGAGTAAGACAATGAGTGCATGACTTGTCGATCACTGTTACCCCTTCCCTGTTGTTGTCCCACTATCCCTTCCCTCCTCAACCCCCTCCCACCCCCCACCCCCACTCCCTGCCTAAATTTGTAAAGTTCATTTCCAGTATACTGTCCTGTGGGTATCATTGTTGCAATGGGTCATCTTGTATCCTTGTTTCAGCATTTTGTTATTCCCCTTCCCGCTCCCCAGATTAGACAAATGTATGTATAAGATGCAGGGTACCAAAATCAAGTACAGTGACAACAGGGGATAGGCCATAGGGGGAAGAACGTACAGGAAATAAAAAAGAAATCACATAGTTCATCTAAAACAATAACAATAAAGACCTATTGTGTCCATATCTTGGGGTTCATTTCATTTAGCATCATCTTATGTGGACATATGTACATAGCTTTTGAGCTTTTCAGCTCATCTGATAATTATCGTATATGCATACTAATTATTGCAAATAAGGAAAACCATGAGACCTAAATTTCTTTGGGACTGGCTTCACTTAATATGATTTTTTCCAAGTCTTTCATTTCCTAACAAATGGGGCAGTGTCATTCTTTCTGATGGAAGCATAGAATTCCATTGTGTGTGTGTGTGTGTGTGTGTGTACCACATTTTCTTGATCTACTCATAAACCAGCACTACAAAAGATACTTAAAGATAGCCTACACATAGCCAACTAGAACATGATGAGGGCAGAGAAACAGCCCCCAAACAAAGAATCAGATAAATAGGCAGAACCTCAGTGACACCCTAAGAAGGTAGATAACGTGACAGGAGCTACCAGACACCTCGCAATCCTAACTCAACATTAATGGACTTAACTCTCCAATCAAATGGCATAGAATCTCTAGTTGGATCAAAAAACAGGATCCATTTGTCTACTGTCCTCAAGAGATGTACCTTTCCTACAAAAACATATTCCGAAAGTGAAAGGCTGGAATAAAATCTACCAAGCAAACGGCCCCCACAAACAGGCTGGAGTAGCAATCCTAGTATCAGATAAAATAGGCTTCAAATTAAAATTAGTGAGGAGATAAAGAAGGACATTACATACTAATGAACAGCCTTGTTCTGTAGATTAAAGGATGATACAACAGCATATTTGTCCACTGGTCTCTCCCAGTGCTAATTTCCTCATGTAGTTTTATTTACTTTCCCAATAATCTGCCTTTCTAGATCGATTTAAGGGACTCCAGAGGTGTAAATCCTGTTTATATATAGTTTGTTCTCGGGAGCATTTACTATTTTTTTTTCTTTTCCAAACCAGTCAGAAATATAGGGTAAACCCAGTATAGCATAGCATAAGACCTAGTAGCTGTAGAAATGATTTGAAGTGATCTGTATAATCAGGTTCTTAATAAGTCTGAAGCAAAGAAGCTCAGGTTTATATTCACTTTTTAAAAACAGTAACCGTAAATGCATGTAAGTCTCGGTTTTTGAATTTACCACCATGCTTAATTGAACCTTCACAAAGATGGACTTTGTGTGTGTGTGTGTGTACACATGTGCACATGTGTGTGCATGTGTTTTAATGAGTGAATTGAGTATCGTGAGACTTTTTGATAATCATTTTAATGTACTTTGATGGAGGTGATTTCAACTATTACTTAGTTAATAGTAGTTTCAACTACTCCTACTACAACTAAGAATCAACTAGAAAGTCTTGAAACAAACTTACACAAGGCCAGAGCTCATCCAGGCTACTCAAATTAGAATGTCTGGGGGTTTGCACAGATACCTTTTTATTTCTAAAGCACTTCTGAGGAATTTTAATATGTTTGTATGTCAGTGGCAGTTGGCACTACTGACATAAGGAGATAAGGTAGTCATGAGTACATTTTCTCCTTTCTGTGTCCATTTACTGAATGTTCCAGATAGCTGATACTGTTCATTGCATTTAATATATTTGGAATTTCTGAGCACAATACATTTATGCTGTGTAGTAATTATAATAGGGTATGTGGGAAATACCTACAAAATGGAAACAAGCATTAACATTTGCTGTAATTAGTAGCCACTAAAGAAAAAAATGATATCTATAATATTTCAAAGTAAAAAGCCAGAATTACAGGACTTCTTAATCCCCTCATACTCCTTTTTCCCAAGAGAAATAGAATTCTTGTCAGTGCATATTTCTTGTATATTATGTCTTCCCTAAAAGTTAGTAATGACATTAGATGGTGAATACTATGTGAAGGATCTAGAGCCATTGTGTTTAGCAAATCAGAAGCTACTGCTGGGCTAATAGATACTTTCAGGTAACTTGCAGATGCCTTCCTGTCTCCTCTTCAGTGAGACAATTAGCTGTGGGAACTAGAAAGAGGCTTCTCATTCCCTCCTGTCTTGATGAATAGCCTTGCAAAAGATGCTGTTTCGTTTTCTTTAAACCCTTTTTTTTAATGACTTTTAAACTTCCATTTCCTGTTTTGTGAAGGAGATTTCGTGCATGTTTCTGTTGTTGAAGAAGCTATGTGAGAGGGATTTTTTTATCAGGACAGTTTGGTTATCAACAATCTCATGCTTCTGGAAAAGTATATTTGAGATGTACTCCACACTAAATTCTGATGTGGAGGCTGTATGGTCAGTTATAGATAATAAAGGGAAACTTTTGTATCGGTTTACGGTTGCCTCATTGTATGGAGTTTCTTTTAGGAATGAAGCCAAGAGTGATGAAAGAAGCTATCTCAACTCCATCGCGAGGGACCCACAGGGATCAGGAATGGTATGATGCTGAGATTGCTAGAAAACTGCAAGAAGAAGAACTTTTGGTAAGCACATTTCAGGGGAAAAGTTCAGGTGAATCAGTAGGGTTTGTTGTTGTTGTTTGTTTGTTTTTTGTGTGTCTCGACTAACAGTTCAGTTACATTGTGAATGTTATACAAGGATTATGTAATGGCTCAATCGCTATCAGTTCAGAACTATAGACAGTGGGTGTTGTGTATTGTTGGTTCCTTATCCATAACTAAATCTGTGGTTGCAATGACCAGGGCCAACTGTAGTCCAAAAAGTACAGTGGAAAACCCAGAAAAAACAACTACCAACTTTTATAACAACATAGCGCTATATGTGTTCTTTTAATATTGTTCATCTTTTGGGACCTAATTTGTCAACTAAGCTTTCTCCTAGCTCTGTGTATGTGAGTATACAAAACGTAGTAGACTATCTGCGGTGTTAGATACTCCTGAAGGTATGGGATGTATCCTGGTGGAGAGGGGGACTGTTACTTCAGTTACTTCCAGTTTTACTTGCTGAGGCAGAATTAGCAACACAGTTACGTACCTAGTTCTGCATTATTAAGTTCTGGAAATTTTCTTAAGAATCTGTTGTAGAATTTGACCAAATATGGCTCTGCTCTGGCCAGTGAATGTATGCAGAGTATTAGCAACTTCAGCAGTGCTAAACACAGCTAACTTTTTATGTCAGTTCTTTTTTAAATTAATTTTTGTGTCTGCAAGTACTGCGGCTTGAACTCAGAGCCTCAACACTGTTTCTGAGCTTTTTTGCTCAAGGCTGGCGCTCTATTACTTGAACTCCAGCTTGACTTCCAGCTTTTTGGTAGTTAATTGGGGATAAGAGTCTCACAGACCTTCCTGCCTGGGCTGACTTGGAACTGCGATCCTCAGACCTTAGCTTCCCTGCATAGCTAGGATTACAGGTGTGAGCCACTGGCACCTGGTGCCAGTTTATTTTATATAAGATTTAAAAAAATATATAAAGCATAAGTGCTGAAACAAGGATACAAATTGACCCATTGTAACAATGAGAGATGTACAAGACACTATGTTGAAAATGAACTTTACAACTTATTACCTTACTCATATAACTGTAAGCCCTCTGTGCATTATTTTTATAATAAAAAAACATAAAAATATATAAAGCATAAGTTCCAATTCAATCACTTTCATGTATCTGCTTTACAGGCTACCCAGGTGGATATGAGAGCTGCTCAAGTAGCCCAGGATGAGGTAAGTTCATGTCAGAGAGCTTCATAGGATATTCCTTTGTAAACATCCCAGTAATTTCCATGCTAACTCTGTAGGTAATGGTATTGACTGGATTTTGTTTAGGAAATTGCTCGCCTTCTCATGGCTGAAGAAAAGAAAGCTTATAAAAAAGCCAAAGATCGGGAGAGGTCCTCTTTGGACAAAAGAAAGCATGACCCCGAATCAAAGGTAGAATTTTTTTAGTGTGTGTTTTGTTTTATTTTGTTTTAATTAAAAATAATAGTAAAAATGTATTAATGAGGGTAATGTGTTATTAGGGTAAGTTTTCCAAATGTATTTAGGGAATGCATAATGATCTTCATTGCATATGAATCTAATGTTTTATTGTGAAAATTTCCTGAAGACAGCAATGTAAAAGTTGCAACTCGTACTAGGAAAATTCATTCTGTGCATTTTGACAGCTGAGATGCAGATGCCTCTGGTCTTGAATTACCTTATTTTTCATGTACTCAGGTCATGAGAAAAGGCAGCATTTCACATGCTTTCACCATCTTAGAGACATACTGTTTCTCTGGCTACTTGGTCTTTGTGTTGCATTTTTCTGCATCTCTTCCCTTAGCTGGTCCTTTTTTGCTTTGTCATAATTTCATTTATGGAAGACTGACTGAATGCTATCATCACAGTCTTTACTTTATATCGCAATATCAGAACTGTTTAGCATGTGTCTTGATTATTGTCTTTTCTCTCATTAGTCAGGTAACAAAATGGACAGTGACTACACTCATCCTGAAATAATTTGGTTGCTGTATGTAGCGATTTCAACTTTAATTTAGCAAACTGCTTTCAGTGACTTTGTACATGCAGCATATCATTCTGGACCAATGTGGAAATACAGAGGGCTCTTACCCACTAAGTCAAATTATAAACAGCAGCGAACACATATAAGATCAAGTTGAATACAAGAACAGATGAAGGGGAAGATAATTCATGCAGTAAAACCTGTTTTAGAAGGGCGTTTACAATGCGACTGTCACACTGCAGCCTAGGTTATGCATCCATGATCCAGTTGATGGGTAGCACTCTTCTCTCTGAGTCCTCCCTTGGGTCCCTGGTCCTACCTCACAGTCTCAGTAATGGTTGTAAGGCAAAAGAAGACATGTTGAAATTATTGCCATACTGTTTCCTCTTGCTTAGTTACCAAGTCTCAGTCTTAAAGTATGATTTCCACATTACTTAGGTTTACTTAGCTCTAAGTTACTCTTTCAATATTCAAGGTCTTTTGTCAGATGCATTTTTGCCACAGTTACTCAGCTTCTTTGTTAACTAGAAAAGAACAAGTATTTTATGGTTAATAAATCAGAAGAGTCATAGGGGGATAAACACATTGCTAGGAACATTATGACGTCTGTGATTAACATGACATGATTGGTACTGGTACTGTTCCTTTAATGGAGTGTTGATTTACATATGCCTTAGTTGTCTGGTTGAAAAATCATCATTCTTAAGTCAGATGTACAAAAGAAAACTTGAAATCCCAAACCTAATCTTCCAGTTCTTATGTGTTGTTATGCAGCCTTTATTTTAAACTTAATTTTATTGTCAAAGTGATGTACAGATGGTAATGAGTACATTTCTTGTCGAATATTGTTACCTCCCTCATTTTTCTTCCACTTTCCCTCCCCCCATAACTCTTAATAATCTGTGGCTGTGTGGGGTGGCATGTTTGTATGTCTGGCTATCTGCTGAGAGCCTTTTTTAACTTGAATGGCTGTATTATAAAAGTGCCTTATTGCTTAAATAAAAGTAAGATAAAATTACTGAAGAAAAGCTTGATGTGATAGGTGTATTTCTTAAACCTTATTTGTGTGTATGTGTGTGTCGTTGTTTTTCTGTCTCTAGTCAAAATCAGCTAAATCAACACACCCAAAGTCGAAGGAGAGTGATGAATCTCATCGTTCTAAGAATGACAGGTCAGCAAGGTAAGATGACACTTTCATTGAAAAGCAGGGTGAAGAAGTGATGTTCTAGGTAAGTTAGGAGAGATCAGTTGCTTGAGAAGACTTCTTTAGAGAAGAGATAAAAAAATCTGTAATTTTGAGGTGGTATTGTATCGAGTCTTACAGTATTATTCTTAAACTTTATTGGATCACATTCATAAGTCAGATAATAGTATTTTGTAGAAACTGAGATGTATCCAGAACATTGTGGCTTTTTTTCTTGAGGACCAATTCTTATCTCTGCACTTCAGCATTTATGTATTTATAACCAGCGCTAGAGAGACAGGAGATTAACCATCTTCCTAAATAAAATCTCAGATTTTAAATTGTTACTGGATCTCTTTATGGTTACAGTGTTGGTGCATGTCATTTAAATATGCCCAATTTAAACATGCCCAAACTCATTCCTGTTTGAGTCTGTGTCCTTTTTGCATTCTCATACATACCTGAGGTGTGTATACCTCCTGACTTCTCTTAGGAAGTCTTGGGTTGTAGTTAAGAGTAACTGTTGTTTTTACACTTCTGTTGTCAGCATTCAAGACCAGGGAAGGAGCCTCTTTTGTTCCTTTTTGCTCATAGTGGCTTTTCAAAAGAATTTATGGTTGGAATATGAGGAGAAAACATGAAATACAGAAAGATGGCTGGGGAGAATAGGCTAATACTGAACAGAGAAAGGAATTAAGTTGCAGTTACACGGGAACAAAAAGGTCTGGTATGCTGTTGCACAGGAGAGTTGCAAGGTAGCCGCTGTGAGCTCTACGTTTTGAAAAGCGGCAGTCAAGTGTGGAAGCTTTCACCACTGAGAAATGATAGATGTTTGAGGAGATAAATGTATTTAGGTGATACACAACACATATGTGTATCAAGGCATCATTTTATCCTTTTAAATGTATATATTTTTTATGTTTTTGACCTCTGAAATATGTACCTCCTAACTACCTTGGAGACTTGGATCTTGCACTAAGAATTAATTGAGTTAATCTATGTAGAATTCACAGCCAGGCCTTCTTCACTATCCACCCAGGTTTATATCCCATCTTCCCAGTGCTTGGGATAGGATGAAAAATTTGAATGCTCTTGCCTGATTTTTATATTGCAGAGACCATGGTACCAAACTGACTTTAACTTTATAAACCTCAGGATACTTATATTTTATACTTTCAAAACAATATTAACCTGGTTCTATGTTTTAGTATAAAACTTGAATATATTTTGGGGGAAAAAAAAAAGGAATGAGAGGGTGTTGGTTTATTTGTGCTGGTTCCTTGAATTCAGGGCCTGAGTGCTGTCCCTTAGCTTTTTGTTTAAGGTACTATACCACTTAAGCCACAGTTCTACTTCTAGCTTCTTGTTGTTTAATTGGAGATGAGTCTCCTGGACTTTCCTGTCTGGGCTGGATTCTGAACATGATCCTCAGATTTCAGCCTTTCAAGTAGCTATGATTATAATTATAGGCCTGAGCCACCAGTACCTAGCACAATGAGAGGTTTTGATTTGAAATCTTTATCAATATGAAATATTTGAAAAAAATCGATATTAAGCACCAAAATAATAATGTTTAATGAAAAATTTGAATTCAATTTTAGTGTTTTCTTTTTGATATAAAAAGTTACCAATGTATGTACTGTAGCAAGTTGAATCTATTTTCAGATCTATTTTGCCACCTGGTGGACAAAGGAAATTGGACTGTGAATTTTTGTTTTTCAAAGTACCTTATCTCCCTTAGCTGGCCACTCACTTTCCTGACTCCATTGTTTTTTCCTTCCTTAATTTTGTAAATTTCTTTTCTTCTGTTCTTTTGTTTCTTCCTGTTTCTTTTTCTTGGTAAAACCTAGCAGAACAAAGTAAATGTTTTTTAAAATGGAGAAGTCATATCGCATTTGCCTTTCTATCTTGCACAGGGCTACAGACATACTAGGTGCTGAGAAAATACTTGTTTTGCTTGAATTATGTTAATCAAAACACAGGAAGAATAGGGTAAAATAATTGATTTAAGTTCATGCAACTATCTAGGAACTAAACTGAGATTTTTCTAGAGCATTTTGGCTTTTGATTTCTGCAGAAAATATATTGTAACCCAAAGACAGGTGTGATTGTAGTTTCTACTGCCTAGATGACTCTTTAAATTTGTCTTTTCTTCAGGCCACCCCCAGCTACTGTGACAGAAGCTGAGGGTCCAGATTATACTCACTTTACAAACCAGCACAATTCTACTCGTCACTTCTCAAAATCAGAGCCCTCTCATAAAGGTAAGAAGAGTGTGTGTGATCAAATCTTTTTTTTTCTTTTTTATTTCTTTTTTTACAGTGCACATCTTTTGTAAGTTTCATGTTGTAAAAAATCAAGTACTGTCTTCTCATTACTGGAGTAAAAAATTAAATTGTCTTTTTCTATACCACTATGTTGTTCCTTATTTGTTAAAACACAAAGAACAAAAAGTAAAATGCAAAGTACCTTAAAGTGAATGCAAGATTTTCTATGTGTTTGTATTTTCCAATGGAGAAAGATTATAGTTTTTTTAGCCGTATAAAGTAATTATAACTCTCACTTACATCTGTTGGGCTGCTTTTTTTTCTACAGCTTGAGCATTTTAATAGGGAAATTTGAATTCTGAGATGTTTTGAATGCTAGTGTTATGTAGGATTTCACATGTCAGATTCTTGGGTTGGGGATGCTTAGCTATTAGTCTATGCAAATATTCCAAATTTCTGAAAATTCTGAAATATGAAAAATAGTTGTGTTCCTAGTATTGTGGACAAAATATTATCAGTCTGTACTGACTCCTAATTTCCCTCTGCCTTTGTCTGCAGATTAGAGTTCATATATGTGCATTTACACACCACACAAACTGTTCATGCAGAGAAGAATGAAGTAAAGAAATAACATGAATATCTAAATTGGATTGCCCCTTTAAAAATGGAAGGAATAGTTCTCACAGATATATATACATATGTGTATTTTTATGCACGTTGTAACTCAAATAAGGAGATACCTTCTTATATTAACATCCTCATTTGCAAAGTAGAGGCAATGTAAATATTTAATCCAGAGTTGTTAAGATCACATAAGATGAGAACTTTGAAGTTTGCAGTAGACTTTATAAACATTAGGTCTTGTTAACAGATCTGTTATGATACAATTTTTAAAGATTTATCAAATGGTACTTTCATTGTATTTTTCCAAACCTAATGGCAGTTTTGCAAATTCCTTTAAATTACCATGTCTGCTGTCCTTAAAGTTACTGTTGCACCAATGAAATTACATTTCTTACTTATTATCAGAATCTTTGAGAAAGGAATATCAGATATTTACATTTTTTAAAAGATTTCCTTCCCCCATTGATATCCACCTAATATTGAAACTAAAAGACATTTTGAAAAAGATGGAGCTAGTTGGACATTATGAACACATTTATCAAAACAGTTCACTAGCCAGGTGCCGGTGGCTCATGCCTATAATCCTATCTACTCAGGAGGCTGAGATCTGAGGATCACGGTTCAAAGCCAGCCTGGACAGGAAAGTCCAAGAGACTCTTATCTCCAATAAACCACTAGAAAACCAGAAGTGGCGCTGTGGCTCAAGTGGTAGAGCGCTCGCCTTGAACTGAAGAGCTGAGGGACAGTGCCCAAACCCAGAGTTCAAGCCCTATGACCGACAAAAAAAAAAAAAAAAACCAGTTCACTTGTCATAATTCCCATCAGCTTGTGGCATTTCACCATCCCCAGTTTAATGGAAATAGTTGGTATTTTTCCATTTCAAATGCTGTGTTCATTGCTCTTTGTTTTTTGGACACATACACTGATAATATTAAAATAAAAAATGATTCTGTATATAGATACTTTACAATCAAAAACAAAGAAAAGAACCACTTGAAATACATAAATATGAAGATAAATTTCTTTGCTTAAGTAGAGGAAATTTGCTGAGATTTTAGAGATATGTTTTTCCTAATTGTTTTTGCTTTTTCTGTTTCCAACCCAGGTTTCCATTACAAGCAGTAAAAACCTAGGAGTCGGCCTTGAAAATGGACTCACTGTAGCACATATCTGGATGATACAGATTTTATGCCACATTAGTTTTTATCCCCCTGTGTGTTTGCATTCCTGGGATTTATTTTTTTTTTTTACTATCATTAATTTCAATTCCTGTCAAAAGATTTTGCTATTTCTGATCACTTGGGCAGTATAAGAAAATGTAGCTTTTGGATATTGGCCACCACGAGGCTACATGTATATTTCCTGGGATATAGTTTCCAAATGCTCTGTAACATGTTATTTGTTTAGCATGGAGTATTGACACCTAGGGACTAGGCTTTATGTAGCAGTTAGAATTAAAGTAAAAGGTAACAGTTGGCTGCACCACAGAATTAAAGAATATAAGAGGTAGCCCCTGGTGCATTAGATGTTTGGAAGGACAGAGCTTTTACTTTTTATTCTCAGGAAAATAAAATATTATAACTATGAAGTATTTAAAAAAGAAACACTAGGGTCATTTGAAATTACTGTTCTGAATACATGGAACTAGTAGAGGTTTTGTATATTAATAAGCACCACTGGGAAAATTGGTCTGTATTCTATATTTAACACGTACTGTGCTGTTGCATCTGCAATAGCAAGGCTTTCAGAAGACACCAAGCAAAGAACATTATTGCCAAAAATTATTTCACTGAAATATTAATTTACACATCTGCAAAATCAACTGAAAATTTAAAAAAACAAACAGTCTTTATATCTTTTGTTTAACATTTACTTTTAGAAAGAGCTAAGGGAAGTGGAATTAGAAGATCATTTCAAAAGAGAAGATTCTGTAGAGTCTCTCTGGCTATTGACTGAAGGTGGCCTCTTGCTTAAAAGAACAGTGTTTGAGTGGCGCTGTGGCTCAAGTGGTAGAGAGCTCGAGGGACAGTACCCAAGCCCACGACAGACCAAAAAAAAAAAAAAAGGAACAGTCTTGACAACTTCTCAATAATGTTTTATGTCCCACCTAATAATTAGAATAATTCGTCATGAAGTTGAACTTTATGAAGTAGTTCTTTACTGAGTATTTGGTCCTACACAGTGTATTTTTTTTTTACAAGTGGTGCCCTCTCTTTTAGCAATTTAGTGGGTATGATTGCAAACTCACAGACATGTTTATTTACCTATACTCCTCTGTTAACATACATACATGTCAATCAAACCATTAATAATTCTTTCAGCTTGACCTCCTGCTCTTTTTCACTGTATGAATCTGTCATTTATTTTGCATATCAATATGGCATTTATTTAGGAAAGAAATATATGTGTCTAGAGAAAGAGTTGTTAATTTTTCCTGTCCTGGGAACTGCCTTCTATTTGCCTTATTTTCCAGACCGTCTATAAATATTGGGCAGAATTCAGGGAAGGTATTTCAAACAAATTCTCAGAGTGGATTTGGATTTCTCATTTTGAGAAAGAGCTTTCGTTTCATAAAGTTTCTTTTTTATTGTGGAGACTTAGGTAAAAGGCACCTGAGAGTTATTTTGTAGGCAAATGATAATCTGGAAAGAAATGAAACCTTAATTTGTGTGGTCAGTTTGAGAAAATGGAGGAAAGGGAAAAGTAACAGGACTTAACCAGTTATAATGAAATGAATATAGGAAAGTCTTCATTTAAAGAAGGGAAGACAAAATGAAGGCTGGTCTTAAGTCCATATCCAGGTTAGAGATGTTAATATCCCAAGCACAGACTTGGTGACTTAAAGTAATAGCTATATTTTTATCTGCCCTGTGATTTTTATTCATGCTTTAAAATGGTAACTAAACTCAGAAAACACACTTGTATTTTTATTTGATAATTAGGCAAATGGACAACATTTCTTTGCCATATTTTTACTTTATAAATGTTTATTTTTCTATTTCATATAGTGATCAGGTTTACTTTTGAAACAACATTTTCTTGGCTCTTCATGTACTTTATTCAATCATATTTATTGTGAAATGTCAGCTGGGCACACTTCAGTCATAAAGATATTAGGGCATCTACCACACCAGAGTTCTTAGGGTTCAGCTATTAGTGAATGACCACATATAGCAGTGCCCTTGTGACAGCCAATTCATTGTCAGTATTGAAAACTTGTTACTTTTTGTTATTTTTTTTTAAAGATTAGGATTTTGAAATATTTTATCTTTATTTTTTGTAAAGCAGACAGTTTTTTAAGAGGATGAGTAATTCACTAGAAATCTGTAATTCACTAGAAATCTACTGTCAGCATATTCTCATGCTATTTCATTCCAATGTAATAATTATCTTTGAAATGGCAGAAACAACTAACAGTTGTGTTCTGATGAACTGCCTATCTTCACAATGTTTCCTGCTTTTTACTTTGCATTTACTTTGTCATCAATATGGACACATTTATTGTTTTCCTATTCCTGCTGTTGGAACACAGGCAACTTAATTTTTAGGACCACAATGTATTATGAGTTATTTATTATACTAATACCAATAGCAGAAGTTCTTTCTGCTTCTAAGTTTCTGCTCTCTGGAAGCCAAGCCCTACCACCCAGTTAAGGGGCCTGGCTTTTAGAGCTACTTGACATATATTCCCTCTCTTCCAGAACCTGGCCTTTTGTAAATCATTGCCTAGGCAAGAGATCAGATAAAAGTCAGCTTAAATGTCTAACATGAAAAAACAGAACAAAAATCTCTGGTAAAATTTTGAGGTTGAGTTTAAGCTATTGTTAGATGTAATTATTTTCCTGAGAGACTGGTTGGTTCCTCCACATGCTCTAAAATGAATATGTATAGCACTGAATTTTCTCAATTTGACTTTACGATGGCCTGCAGGACACTAATGAATTGCAACATCAAAACAGTAACAAGAGCCATGTGATTCTGATCACAGGGAAACAAACATCTAAGTTAAAAAGAAAGATGGATAAGTGTTCCTAGAAGGAAACTATTTTCAGAATGGTGACCATGAGTCTCGTGTTCCGTGAACTCTAGGAAATTCTGGACCCAGCCACCTCTGCCTTTCCTTGTTCTGGCTGGAAACCTAACAAGCTGGTAACTAAATTCATTGCTGACGGTTTTCATCTTTTTCATATACACAACATGTCAGTATAAAAATGTAATAGTATTTTTATATTTGCTTTAGTCGATAGTTATTTTTAATAGTGTCATATCTTCTCTAAATTTGTCGTGCCAAATTGCAGATAGTTATTATTATAATATGGTGCATTGTTTACCACGTAAGTGGTTAGCATTTTTTTAGGGCCTTGATTTTTAATGAATGCTGCCTTTCAAAAAAAAGAAGAAAGGAAAAAAATCTCTGAAAAATACCAAGAATGTTTGTTATTCAATTTTCTTGAAAGATGACTGGTGACTGAATAAGAAAAGATGAGAACCTTGAGTCGATCAGTGGAATTACTAAGGACAAAGTAGAATCTGAATTAAAGGCTTGTTCCTTTTAGGTAGATGGCATTGGTGTAGCAACTATTAACTTTGAAAAGCAACACTGGTCAAGTAGATTTTACTGTACATACTGTGCCATATCCTGAGCCTTTAAAAAAGACTCAACCCCCCCCCCCATCTTTTTAGCAAAAGAGTATGTATTATGTCCATTATGTTCTGCTCATCCAGGAGTAAGTCTGGAAAATGCTCCCCTTTTCTTGTATCTGTTGATGCCCATGAGCTTTGAAGTTATATTTGCTTATCTTGTTCCTTCTTAATCTGTGATCGTGTTTATGAGCAGAGAGGAGCAAACTACAGATGATCCTGGTAAAGCTGAACAGGGATAGGGTCATGCTAATTCTTGCTGGAACAATCTCCTTTGTCCATAATGATATATGTAAAACTACTTTCTAAAGGGAAGAGCAGAGGCTATTGCTGTTCCTGGCACTTAACAGGAATGCTGAAAGTTACTTTTGGGGAACTTGAGTCAATGAGAGTTAACTGGGAAAATGTCAATAGTACAGACCCACTTTCCTGATGAGCTCTGAGCTTTATCCCAGCAATGTTAGTGAGGAGCAGGTTTGCCTTAAATTAATTTGACTTTGTGTGAGCTCAGTATATACTGCTGTATGTGAATGACAGTCAGCTGTCATTGACAAAACCCACAGATGATTCCCAAGCTTCCTTGTCATAAGGCCTCTTCTCCCTCTATATTTCTGCTGATGTGACACTGACAAATACATCATTTCAGCTCCCTGAATTGCAAAGACATGACCAGAAAGACTGGTAGGAGGAGGAGCAAGAAAATCCTGGTAGAACCTTCCTTCATACCAGGCAATCACTTTCTGAACAATTGAGTTTTCTGACTCTCCCCTTTTTAAAAATAAGGACTATGTAGATGTTTCTAAAGATTCTTTTGTGAATGAAGACATTCATACTGTAAACATTTCCATAATGCCTTTTGTGTATTGAAATGATTATTTACCATTAACCCAAAAAAGAGAGAGAATCAAACAGCGTGCATTCGTTTGAAATGGAAGATTTCTGATGTGCTACAGACTGTTATGTTTTTCTACTTTTTAGGAGAAAATTACCCAGGAAAACGTTTGTAAATGAGATACCAAGATGGTTTTTAAAGGTTCTAGTAAGTGATTGTGTTCATCTTTGGGAAATGTCCAGCCCTGAAAGCCACTCTGTTTCCCATATGCATATATATATATATATATATATATATATATATATATATATATATTATGCATATATATGTATAAACACTGCCTGCTTACTAACATGTTCTTCATAGATTAAGTGGTATTCTTTTAAGTGTCTTCACAAAGTTGGAATTAATTTGTTTTTTCTCTTTTTGATGAACTTCATGACAGGGGGGCCAGCACTGTGATGACTTTTATTTCCAGTCAGGGCAGAACTGTTTTGTAATTCAGTGCCCCATTATTCGTTTCTGTGGTTAAGATAGCAAGAGGGTAGGATCCAAGGCAGGGGTCAAGTAATATTTCCTTCAGGAGAGTAAAGATTTAGGACACTAAAGAGAAGACAGATGAGAGAATATGGTATGACACACTGAATTTTGGACCATAGCCACTAAAATGCTTCCTGTTAAGTTTTGTGAGATAGTTTTAGGTGTCAGAATTTTTATACTTTTGATTAATCTCTGAAATCCCCATAGACTGTAACTTTAGACCTTGTAAACTGAAAGGCCAATTTTCCTCTTGCCTCTTCTGGGCAAACCAATATTCTTCACATGAGCTGTTGTAAATAAAAAGAAAGTATAGCAGGGAATAACATGAGAATGTAGGGTTTCCCCTAAGAAGAATCTAGCCCAGCAAAATATATTTTGAAAAGGTGCTGAATTAAAATGTTGAATTTGCTCACAAATCAAGTTGCTCAGGAAATTCCATTCCAGGTAATGCTGCCATTTGTCATATAATTTGGAAAAATAATCCCTTGAGAGAACTAAGCAGTGCCCAGACACTTCCAGTTCTTTGGTAAGCACCCTTTTAATATTCAGAATCTGGATTATGTTCATACAACAAAAGCAATGTTATCTCAAGTAGGCATCAGTATATAACCAAGCCCCAAAGGGAGGAAGCAGCTCTGAAGTAGCTATTTCATGGAGCCAAACAGAACCTTGATGGGATACAGTTGCTTATCTAAGGCTGGAAATCACACTACCCCAAACCACATGCCTATCTAGAGATTCAGTGACAGATACTGTGAGGGAAGCGATGTGGATGCCTTAAAGGTGATGGGTGGGTACTGGTACTCACGTACCCATCTGAATTAAACTGGTGGATCAGTCTGTTTCACGTCACCTTCCTGCAGCACAGATTCTTGCTCATAACTCATCAAGGAAGATGAGGAACATGGTGCTGGTTACTTTTTCTGCGTTGGGAGGCTGAGGTGGTCAACATCATGAAGGCACTCTCCCAGGCTCCAGCCTTCCTTGTCTATGTTAACTCATCTATGCAAGCTTGTGTTTCCATGGTTTATGTTCCACATTTGCTTCTTCAAATATCAGGTTGAACATGATAAGGATAATTTTTAAACCAAAGTATTGTATACGTAAGTCTATGTACTTTGTTTTCCTGGATGGCGTGACTGGGGTGATTACCTACCTTGTCCTTCTCTCTTAATAAAGTCATCCATTTGTTAAGACAGTGGTCTGTGTCTTGTGTTTTTTTTATTGCACAAGGGGACTTGGGAAGGTATTATTTGTTTGGGGAGCAAAATAAAAACAGTGGCTCACGCCTATAATCCTAACTACTCAGGAGGCTGAGATCTGAGGATCACAGTTCAAAGCTACCACGGGCAGGAAAGTCCAAGAGACTCTTATCTCCAATAAACCACTAGAAAACAGAAAGTGGTGCTGTGGCTCAAGTGGTAGAGCGCTCACCTTGAGCTAAGAGCTGAGGGACAGTGCCCAGGCCCAGAGATCAAGCCCCATGACCAACAATAACAAAAAATCTACAGATTCCATATAGTCGATAGGAATCAATACATTATTTGGGAAACTGGCAAATGGGGTGAATAATTGAACATTTACCGTGATATTTATTCAAAGAAAGGTGTATACCTCAGTGTAATGAATAATCAGGGCCTATCCTTTGATAGGCATATTCAACTAATGTTAAAATGTGATGGAAGATTAAGATCATCTTCACAAAAGGAAAATTTATATATTCTTTGCTTCCAAATAGAAAGTTCTTGCACTACATACAAAGTTAGCAAGGTTCAAGATTTGTCTACCAGCTGGACACTGGTGGCTCATGCCTGTAGCCTGTAATCCTAGCCTCTCAGGCTGAGATTTAAAGGTTGTGATTAGAAGCCAGCCCTGGCAGAAACCCGAGAAACATCTCTAGTTAACCAGCAAAAACCAGAAGACAAAATAAGGTACAGGGCCAGCCTTGAGTGGAAAAATCCAAATAAGCAAAAAGCCCTGAGATAGAACTCCAGTACCAACACCCACAAATTTTTTTTTTTTTTTTTACCATTTTTAGGTAGAAATATTTTAAGAGCAAGATTGCAAACTGCCAAAGGCACTATGGAAAACTTTACAAATGACAATCCTTCAAATATATATATATATTACAAATATACTATATATATTTAATTACAAACTGAAAAGACCCATACAACCACTGGAGAGACATAAAGACATCTGATACTGGGTGATCTTGAGGACTTGGTGTTAATATTTTAGATGCAATCATATCTGGCTTAGATTATAATCTAAGGACAAACAGACTTTTTATTTAAGAGATACCAAAACATTTACAGATGAGCAGGAATGCCACTAAGTATGGAGTAAAAGAATAGAAAAAATACTTAGCATAGACCATTTGTGAAGAATTAGTAAATCCAGTTTTTAAATATTATTTTGTCTTAGAACTTAGTGAAAATGTCCATGATAAAGTTTGTAAAACAACAAGGAAGTAAATTTCCTTACAAAACTCAATGCAAAATCACACTACGGTAAATATGTTTTTTGGATGAAAGGTGAGAGAAGTAATAGAGATCTAATGAAAAACATCAGTTGTTGGTAAATATAAATATTGATATATTAAACAGCGATAGTTTGTATATTTCATATGTAAATGAAATGCATGAAATCAGGTACGCATTATGTAAGTGTAAATGGAGTTAAGGTGTTACAATGTAGTATTTTTCAAACTTTTTCACATAGTAATCATCTGGGAATCTTATTGCCACTGACGAAAAGGAATGAAGTCCAGCTATAGAGTTTGCGTTAGTAATAAACCTTCGGATCTGGGTGCTCTCCTTGAACTTTTGTGTTCAAAGCTAGAGCTCTACCATCCTAGCCACAGCTCCACCTTTTTTTGGGGGGAGGGGGGTTAATTGGAGATAAGAGTCACAGTCTTTCCTGCCTATGTTGGCTTGGAACTATGATATTCAGATATCAGTCTCCTGAGTCCCTTGGATTATAGGTGTAAGCCGCCAATGGTTAGCTAAAAACACATTTTTGTTAGTAAAAGAATGTAGACGAATGTAAATCTACCTGTGCAGCAAGGGTCTCTGTGCTGGTTGCCAACTTCTTCTGCAACGGAGTACACAGGTGCTGACAGATAGGCCTCAAGGGACAGAGATGTAAGATTAATTTAGGCAGGTCCTAAGAGGAGGAAAGTGGAGTGGGTGGATAAAATTTCCTCTGCTAATTCTCCACCAGCCCTCCATCTAAAGAGCCTGGAAAGCAGCTGGCTCTGGGGCTTATTACCAGGGGAAGTGGGACTCAGTGGGGTAAAGCTCAGAATGTCCTGTTTCCAAGACAGTAACAGAGCCCAGGATGTGTCCTGCAGGCCCTCCTTAGCACATCC